TACCGTGTTCTCTGGTCCACCAGCTTTCAAACAGTTCCACAACACATGTCTCGTCTATCCATGAGTTCCCGGGCAATCACTGCGTGCTCACACAATGATAACACTTCATGGAGCCTGAACAACAGGGGCTGCATGGGTATGATGCCCTAGGAGCATGTCGAGGTCGCGTCGCGGAGTTTTTGAGTTCGATGCTATTCAGAGTACCGACGACATTGAGTTCAAGCCCGCGCAGCTCTGTCATGCATCCATCATTTACTTTCACACGCCTTGACCCGTGCTCGCCGTATACAGCATAAGTCCCTAACCCGTATACGGCAAAGATTCCTCACGCATTACATCCATAGCAAACAGTACATTCAACCTCAACGGTACAGTACGGAGTCCGTAAGACGGCTACATATAAACCATATCTACGGTCACAGCTGGCAGCCCTAATCGTACATATATCAGCATTTCGTTTACTTCTTGTTTTGGTCTGTATCAGCTTCGGCCACATCATTTGATAGGTACTATATTACTTGATCACACATGCACATATTGCATGGTTATTCACATATACTACAAGTATATATAGTGCTACATATCTACCTACAGAACAAGAAGAAGTATAGTTTCCCCTTCCCCTCAGTCACATTGTGAAGAGTCCAGCAGTGCGCACGTGGCACCTCCTGCATTCTCATCCTCCGTTCCATTTGTCACGTGGCATTTGGATTGCGTTCATTCCTACTTCGCTTTTGGTGGGAACACACCATTCCCTGTCCTCACTCACACATGCTGCGAATTCCCCTTTGCACCTACAGTACATGCATTGCGTTTTACTGGGACTTCAGCAAACACATAAGGAAAATGATACATGGCATGGCAGAAACTATCTACATAGTCACGTACCCCCTTAACCCCCCTGTACCGCCTAGATTGTTCAAATCTAACAAGCCACTACAATGTACCCTATCTCATAATGCCCCACCCCCACTGTAGGCATTAGTGACAGTGAGAGTTGACGATTTAAGCTCAATTCAGGACAAGATTCAGGGACAATTTGGGCCTGAATCACACTGAATCACATGTTAACCCAAACAAGCAATATAAGAGTGTAGTCTGTGGTCCATAACCAGCCCATCAGTGACATCAACTAAGGTTCTTGGAGGGCATGCCACCAAAGCAACCCTATTTAATATGCTCCGGTTCTTGGAGGACATGCCACCAAAGCAGCCTTACTCAAGATGCTCTGGTTCTTGGAGGGCATGCCACCAAAGGAGTCTTACTCAAGATGCTCCTGGTGGTGGTGATGCCTACTAAGGTTCTTGGAGGACATGCCACCAAAGTAGTACTATTCAAGATCCTTCCAGTGGTGGTGACACTGAGTCCAGGAGCTCATTGTTGGAAAGGGGTATGAGCCTGTCTCCCCAACCTTCATAGTGTCTGCTGCCTTGGGATGCAACTGGTGAGTCTCAGCATTACTTCTCCTTGATCATCGTTCAGATCACATACATCATAGATTGATCGGCTAGCACTTCTTCATGATCACGGCATCCTGCACCGTGACATCAAGCCCCTTCTATTGGCTTCAAACCTGTGTGAGCTGCCATTTGGTTTTGCTCTAGTAGTCTCTCCTATGGAATTCTTCATTTGGCCTATTGACAAGCTCAATGGTGGCTAGTTTATATTTGATGATGATTGTTTATTTGGATATGATTATGAATGGACTGTGGGGAAGATGTTGGCCCTTGAACTTCTGGCTCTGATTCACCTTTGAGTTGAACTTCAAGATGAAAACCATATAGTCATGGTTCACCTTTGAGTTCAACTCAAAGGTGAACCACGACTATATAATCATTTTATCCACCAGGCCTAGCACAATCTGCTTTAAGAAGAAATTGATTCATGAATATCAACTTCTGCTTGGTACCCCCTAAACTATAGGTTGATAGTGAGCAGTCATTGATGGCTAAGAGCTCTTAAAGAGAGGGGAAGGGGAAAGGAGAGAGTGAAATTAGTTTTAACCCACTTAGTACTGCTTCTATTAATACCCATGAGACTCAAGATAAGAAAATAAGAAGAGCACATGCATTCATCTGTGATTAGCTACAATGGCAAAGCCTCAGAGATAATCAACAAACTAAGAAGATAATCTTCAATCAGATAGCACATGTATCCAATCAAAGCTTTAGATCCACACATGAAAAACTCTTAGGGATTGCAATTGCCACATGCCTCTAATACCCTGTACCCCTGTGGTGCCTAGCTCTATGGCCAACTAGTACTTAAGAGTCTAGCTCTTTCCAAACCTTCTATTAGCTTGAGCTCGGCACATAGGGTCGTGAATGAAGTTGATGAAGGAGTTCTGGCCAGTGCTGTAGGTGGACCTGGTGCTGGATGCAAGACCGTACCAGAAATAAAAAGCAATGATTCTTGAGTGCTGAGGGAGTGTTTGATACCAAGAGTCTGGGGGTTGACTGAGTATGGCTTCTTGTCGAGATTGGGTGCGAGTGTGAATAGGCGAGCATATTGAAAACAAGAGGCAGTGTCAGTGATTGCATTATCAGCAGAGGAGAGCCAAGAGGAAGAAAAAGAAAATTGTAGGGCAGTGGCAAGCATGAGTATCAAGTGCAGCAGCTTGACGAGGTGAGGGGACCAATTGGTATGGTTAGATAGAGCGGCGATGATGGCCTGGTTGTCAATGTGGAATTGAATGTGTGAGTGTTTCCAGAGATGTCCCCAGCGAAGAATGGCCTGTAGCATGGCGTAGAGCTCCTTGAATTGGATGTCCCGTTTGGAGCCCCTGAATTGTCTAGGGACTCGCGAGCTGAACCAGTGCGTGTTGTAGGTGCCCCCTAGCCCCTTAGTACCACTGGCGTCCATGAATATGTGATGGCGAATATGGGGTGGGTCAATGAGTGTGACGCCGTTCCAGGAGGCTGCGTAGGTGGACCACCATCGCACGTCGCTGCGAGCGTAGCATGGGATATGGCGTTGGGAGTGAGGGGTGGAGAATGTGGTTGAGAATTTGATGAGGTGACGTATGAATGCTCATGAGTAGGGAATGACTTGTGATGCGAAGTGCAGGAACCCAGTAAGTTCCTGGAGTTCGTGCAGGTTGCAGGAGGACTTGGTGGACCAAGTTGCAAGGAAGTCTTTAAGGTAGACAAGCTTATTGTTGGGCAAGCAAGCTTCCATTGCAATGGTGTTGAGCTCAATGCCGAGGAATTCAAGACGAGTCGTGGGCCATACTGTTTTCGCTGGCTGGAAGGTGAGACCTAACAAATTGCCCAGAGCTTGAATCCAAGTGACTGCGTCATTGGCGAGCGTCAGAGGAGTGTCAGGGGCAAATATAGGGAGGAAATCGTTGAGGTAATGTTCGAGTTCCGCTGGGATGTGGTGTTGTATTATCCAGTGGAGTGCTTCCGCAAAGAGGTTAAATATGTATGGAGCAGACTTGAGTCCGAATATTAGTACCATGTACTCGTAGAAGGTGCCATCCCAGAAGCAACCGATGAGATGATAGTTGGCAACCCGTAGAGGAATGTGGCAAAAGGCGTCTTTCAGATCCAGCTTGGCTAGTAGCGAGTGTCGCCCAAGACGTTGAATAGCAGCAATAGCCTGAGATACTGTGTCATAGACAATGTGTCCTTCACTGTTGTTATAGGTGCATCCAGGAGGCCCCTTAGGGGCTACTGACAGGCATTTCCGGCTACGGACTCGGGCCGTGCATATACGCGGCTACACAGACTTGTCACAGGTTTTGGACTTGTACATATTCGAGCATGCTATACTTATTCCTACCGGACTCATTGCTGTTTTGTGAACGTGTGGACGCCGCATGTTTCCCAGTATATATTTCCTGTACCGTACATACAGTTACCTTAGTTCGAATATTAGTTCCTTTTCCGCACTCGCATCCTCGCCTCTCTATTGAGGTCCCTCCGTTGCATCCCCTCGCCTCTGCTCGTACCCTCGGTACCCACGTAGGACTCTCTTTGGAAATACAGGGCACGCAAGAGTATGGGAGGCGCAGCCAGTAGCTGAAGCCAAGCCCGTATGTCCTCGCTCCCCTCATTTCCCCCCGCGCTTCTATGTGGAACCGCACACCCACGGGTCCACGTATTCCCGAGCCCCCGTGAGTGTGGCTCTTAACAACTGTCAGGAATTCCATTGTTGACAGAGCCACCAGGCGGCCAGGATAGGTGGTTGATTACCCAAGATTTGTTTGAGTATTGTTTCCTTGTAACGGTCCCCAAGGGAGACGCGCGGAAGGCGGGATGAGGAGGTGAGCATAGGGGACCATAAATCCTGGCATTGGCGTGAAGGACGCTCATGTCCTTGTCAATGATGTCGGAGTGATCTGTGGCCGTTTTGAGGTTTCGACACATCTGAGGTTTATCGTCACCAGCAAATCCGATAGCGGCACCATAATTTATTATATGTAGCAACACCTGTACAAACTCGCAAGTATCGGGGTACTCTGCTAAATAAAATGCCCATTGTGAAGCAACTAGAGTCAATTTAATAGGAATGTTATCGGATAAGCGGAGGGATGCGCGATTGCAACAGGGGTCTGTGTTAGGACAAGCAGAAGGTATGGGCCCAGGGGCAAAAAGGGACAGGGGGTTGGGAATTAGGGGTGGTGTATGCAAAGTAGAAATTGTTGGGGAGGGGACAGAATCACGTTGCTCATCCTGCGGGCGAGGACGAGAGGAGGATTCAGGGTGTGTGACCCTCGTCCTGCCGAGGCTTCAAGAGCTGGGGGTGACCTGGGTGCAAGCTGTCTTAGCGTGCTCTGTAGAACCACAAGTGGTGCATTTATGAATGTGTCCCGTCTTGCAGGGCGTTGTCGAGCACCAACCGTTGTTGAAGTGATTGCAGATTTGATTGGAGACATCGCGAGTAGTGGTAGTGGATGAGGATGGGCAGGACTTCTGAGACAACGGAGAGGCTGGCTTTACTTCTTGGTATATGCTCAATCGGTGGAGCTGGCTGACAAGCACTTGATCCTCGTCATCTCATAAGGAGTAATCACCCCTGATCATCTCCCTGATGCCACAGGAGTGGTGAGTGATGTGGTAGGTGAGGATGGCAGGGTAGCTGAAGTAATGAGAATATTCGTGGAGGAGGTTGGTGTATGCCTGGGTGGAGATGGCAACATCGGTCACTGCTTGGATGCTGCCAGGCGTCCCGGTGTAGCAGTAAAGGATTTGAAAATACACGCCCAAGGTGCACATGAAGGTGGAGAAGTCTGGGAGGTCCTTGATGGGGGCCATGTCCATTGCACGTAATGTGCTGTCCTCAAGAGCATACATTGTGGTGGTTGCCTTCGCAGTGACGCTGGGAATGAGTTTGCCAAGCTGCTGCGGCTTGAACTCGTGCTTGCCAATAGATACCACGATTGCAGCATCGACATCAGGAAAGAAGTCAGGAATTGATAACATACCGATAGAGGTGTTGGCTGTAGGAGGAGGCACATAAGGGATCAAAGGGGGGGGCCCTTGAACGAGTGGCGCGACCAGGGCAGCTGGAACCGCTGGGACAGGAGGGACAGGGGGAGGAGGGGGGGAGGAGGGTTACTCACTGCTTTGCGAAGGAGATCAAGGATCTCGTTCACACTCGATTCCAATCCTATGACCCGCATCTCCAAGGGATTGGGCTCCTGGTTGCCTGTGTCACCTGCCATGTCCAGTACTGGGGACAAAGGCCAAGTGGGTGGGACTGTTGGTGAGTTTGGGGGTGAGGGATGCAGAGTGGCAGAAGCGACTGATGAAGTGGCTATGTAGGACGATGATAGAAAGCGGCCGTTGGCATCGCATGGGCAAGCAGAGGTGCGGGCTTTCCGTGGAGGCATTCTGGAAAAGAAATGAACAAGCTCAATGTGCTATTGAGCGTGAACATAAGAAGATGAGAAGTGTACATGGGTAGTGACTGTATATATACGTGCACGCGCAGACAAAGGTGTGAAGCTCAAAGGGAGAGATAGGGGAATAGGAGGTTCACATGCTCTCACAGACGGACTGTGGATAAATTGCATCTATCCTCTCACTTTTGGGTGTCTCCTTCGCATTTCAACCAGCCCAAGCAAGAAAGTGTTTGGCAGCTACAAATTCACACATTCACATTGCCATGACGAGTTGGATAGACTACAGTTTCAACAAAATCTAGTTTTCACAGAAGACACCCAAAGGCAGAACACAAAAGTAAGTTAATTGTCATCTAGTTTGTGTGTTCATAAAATTCACAATCCTTCCGACGCTGTGAACCCCGACAATCTGGATATGGGCGAGAGCAATTCTTACATGTTCGAGTTTTTCGAACAGTACGCACAGCACTGCCAGCATGGGGTGTTACAGAAAAGACAGAAGCAAAGGAGCCCACAGAAGCAGCAGGAGTAGGTTGAAACCCTGATGATGAAGGTGCATATGTATGGGGATGAACAGTATAAGGATACGGAATGATATGAGGTTGTGAGTACAAATTGGCAGACAAAGGCAAAGTCCCAACATAAGGAGCAGGTGTGACCACAGGGGGCTGCACTTCACTGAGAACATTAAGGACTGCACTTCTGAAGTCAGAGTGTGGGTTGGGTGCACTAACATCATATCAGTATTCTGGCAATACCAATGTAATTGAAGACATACCTATTTGCTGGATTTGAAAGAGCACTGTCTGTTATATCAGTTTCCCCAGCTTGGTTCAGCTGCATCTTGAAGACTGATAGTGCCATCCAGCAGTGGAACAGAAGTAGTGATAACTCGAGTGTATCCTTGTTTGTCTGGCGGCAGGTGCGAAGGTTTCGATCAACTTTGATGCATCGTTGAAGACTCTGAGGAGCCAAGAAGTCCATGGCAATTTTGGCACATGGTGTAATATTAGAGACCTTGAGGAAATCAGTATAATGGGGCGAGGAGGAAACAGACAGCTAGCTGCACGAACCTGATGAGCACAGCCAGCTGGGATGAATACAACATCACGATGATGCTGCTCAAATGTGAATGGCCGTACATTATAACGAGCTTTGAGTGTTTCGAGATGTTCGTCGGTAAGATATACGTGATAGGAGCTGATAGAATCGATCCGGGAAAAGCTCTGTTGTTTTTCATCCCGCAATTCGGAAATAATGAACTCCTTGAGTATTTCCAAATGTTCGCTGGAAAAGATATGCCAGAGCGCCTTGCCGTCATCAACCATGATATTAACTGCGTCAGAGATGTCGATGTGTAGACGGGTGCTTCCATTCTGGCGGCTAGTCATTGCCGCGTATAGCTTGGGGCCTGCAATAACAGCTCAACAAGGGAAACTATGTAAAAGTATAAACTCACACACCAAGGTCGGGAATGCAAGTATAGTTTGCCGGGAAAAAATTCGTGATATTCAAACGACCATATTCACTGGTGTATTCGCGTACAGGAAGGGCCCTTTGAAAGGCTCAGGCGGGTATGGGCGCTTTGAGTTTGAACGACGTGTCGGTGGGATAATCCTAAAGATGTCAAGACTCAGAGTTGGATAACTGCCGTGGTATCCCAGGACATGTGTTACCTTCAACTTCCACACATTGGGCCCAGATGTAGACATCGATCGCAGGAACGAATCTACAATGTCTTCGCGTGTGCCATAAGGCTCTTCACAATCGACCAGAGTACAGCTGTCGGGACCGAAACATGCAGCTAAGTAATCCGAAGACCATTTTCCGTCCGGTCGAACACCGTCCCTACACACGAAGGGCAGGCCCCGAATCCAGAGATAGTCGAAGTCGGAGAGTCCGCATTCCCCTTCAATGATTGGGATGTGTCGGTGATCATTTGCGGCTAGAACCACGGCCTCCAGATAACTAGCTGGGGTCGAGGGGCTGAGGCCGTGGCTAGGGACAGGCATTCCCTGCGTAGCGACCGATTGAAGATCAGCCGCCAGTCTGTGTATATCAACGGGGCTGATTGCTGATACAAGTACGTTCTCCGTGTCGCAGCACTTCTGACGTGAAGGTTGACACGATAAGCAGTAGTGTCGCCCGCATAACTCGCAGATCCAAGATACCAAATCTAACGTCCAGCTGCAAGCATCTATAATGTACCATAAGCAGTGTAGATACCCAAGTGAGCGTATCGTTGTTACCACATTCGTCCTTCCAGTACGGTGACCTTGTCGTCGGAATAATATTTTTTTCGTGAGCATCGACGATTTCGACTTGCTTGCGAACAATGGGTAGTAAAGCAGGAGCTAGATATGACTTCAAAAACCGTGAGTGGGAATCCGGCATTCAACTCAGGGCCATCGGAACGCATATGTACACACCTGCAGGAACAGTATAATGTCAACAGTGACACCCGTCTCAAATATATCTCTTTCATATACAAAATCAGGATATTCCGCTCGTAGGGTACCCTCGCATTTAAAGCGAGTGAATCGGCCTCCCCGAAGGTCAAAATCAAATTTGGACTGGGGGAGCTCGTGAACTCGATGGAGATCTATAGGAATTGTATTTTCGTGAACCGAGAAATTCGCATTATCTAAATCTCTTACTGCGAAAACAGCATGTTGTCCTATCACTATCAAGCGAATGACAGATGTAGCATAACGTGAGTTTCGTGTAATTTTTCCCCAGCTTATTTTTGAACGCGACGCAGTCCGTGTCTTGAATGAAAACGCTGAGGTTGGTTTCCCCTTCCGATTCGGTCAAATCAGATAGGTCTGAATTCGAGTCTGGTTGTAGCTGCATGATAAGACGCGTCGACGTCGTCGTATCTATGCGTGCTATATCGTTTTGCAGCTTGCGTCGAAATACAGTGAAACGAAGTCTGCAGTTGCAGCCAAATTCGGGACGGGCGGAGTATAGCGTTGAACACTTTACTTCGGACTCGCGAGATAAAAAGTACCTGTAGGAGCAGAGTCAGTGGAATTTGTGTGCATGTATCTTCGAACTTACACGTACGGTATCTTGCTGTAGCGTCGCCAATAGATCGCAGTTGCTCTTCGCAATGAAGATGGCGTGCGTGTAGCAGCGCGTACTATACACGACGTTGACGAATCACGTGGACGTCGGACTGCAAACTTCCGTCTAGATCTAGAACTGCAACTGCAACTACTAGGCAACTCATGTATATATCTAGAGCTCTAGATCTATATGCATATGAATATATAGGCCTCTTTGCGCGTTCAACGCCTAAGAGGCCTGATATATATAAGCTACCCCCTGCTCCCCCCTTGACCATGCGAGAGCTGCGAAGCTGATCGATATTCACCACTCGCCGATCTGTACATATATATGCATGCGATTCGAACGACTTTCGTGGATATACGTACATTTCAGCTCGCGACCGCCCGATCGTGTCTAATTATCCATGTACGTATACGCAGCAAGCTGAGTTGATATTGCATCCATCCATATGCATCAAATACATGCACATTGCATGCGTACGTATACGCGCCATACGCATTTTCTACATAAGAGCCTTCTATAGAAGGTTTATGTCTCATCCCAATAGCAATTATAAACTTACCCCTCGCCAACATGAGACTCGACGTGCAGCGCTCCAGCGTCAACAGGTCCCCGAGCGTTCAACTCCTACCCTTTGGGCCATCTAGATCGGCCAATTCTCGAGCGGCTTCCGCCGCCGCACGCGCTCACAAGTCTCAGCGGGTTAGGGTGGGTCCTCCTTCCACCTAATATGCGGCTATCCTTTGTCTAACGTCTGATTACCTCTAGAACGCGAGAGGAGTGCAAGGCTTTTTGTTTGCCCAGCACGACCACAGACGCCGCATGCGTAACTTCCCCCTCTGTGCTGGTAACGACGTCGACATCAATAAACTTCCGGAAATCGACGTGAAGAAGGTGTTCCAAGGCCACGGAGGTGCTGCCTACCGTGTACATGACGCCACGGTCTCCCTCGCAAGCTCCCATCGTCATCGCTTCAGGATCTATGGCTACAGCAAAACGACATGCGATGTAAACCAAGCATTGCTACGAATTGCGCCACACCTTCCATGGAGAGGGGAGCTCGCCGTGTTCCGTCTCGGCGAGATCGTGCCATACCTCGCTTCACCTGTGATTTCCAGTGTCATTGTAAACAAAGCCATCAGAATGTACCGCGTTTCCCTACCCCTTTCCCCAACACTAATGAATCTACAGGTTTATGGCCTCAGTGGCTACATCCATTGATTCAAATACGCGCTCTCCGAAGCAGATTCTCGTAAGTCGCTTCCCATTGAGCTATCTCGCTTCGATTAATTACGCTACGGCTATAGGAATAAATGCGAATCATGAATCCAGTTCCGGTTCACTATACGTCGTTAATCAAGTATATGCACTCTTAAGCTCGTATATCTATTCCTACGCCTTTCGATAGTCCCACCGTGTATCTCCCTTCCATGCTTGTCTTCCTTAATGTATTGTAAGTTATCCCCGCGCGCGGTGCTTTCTTCCATGCTGAAATTCACCCAGACATGTATGGCCAGCGGGTCCCCCGTACGTACGACACCCATATGCATGCATCTGGCACGTTTAGATCGATCGATATCGTCACGGATCGAGTAGATCTGTCGCGGAGCCGACGTGGCCACGGGCCCGGACGCATTGTAATTTCTCGACTTCGTGTATGTTTCCGATTAACACCGCGAAGGAAGAAAAATTTGTACATCGCCAGGCCTGCAGCTGCGCATGCAGCTAATAATCAGCTCTATAGCAGCTGGCCATGGCCATGGCCATCGGAATGCATATGTCCATGCATGATGGTGCAGCATGCATTAGTCACGTACACAGTCTTTGCTATATATAGGCCTGGTGGCAGCGATATCGTATACCACACCCCCCAGCTCTACATCTATAGCTAGCGTCATGACAGACTTGCTACCTATCCTGGCGCGCATCCTATCTATAGGCCTGGTGGCAGCGATATTGTATACCACACACCCCAGCTCCACATCTATAGCTAGCGTCATGACAGACTTGCTACCTATCCTGGTGCACATCCTGCACATCCTACGCCTCTCCTTTTACGCCATTAGGGCCTCCGTGGCTGTCACGATGGCGTTCCTCCTTTGGCTTCTCATAATGCGCCCAGCAAGAGCAAATATGCATGTTTACCGAGGTATTCGTGACGTCTGGAAGAAGCATTATGCTCAGAAGGTGAGATGATTCCGTCTCATTCATTGTCTTAGCTATGCTATCTTACTGAATTCGCTATGCAAAGGATCACCCGCACGCGATTCTCTACAGAATCTGCACCAAGGAAATCCAGCTCGTTCCCCTTCGACCAAGTCGATATCGCCGAAGCGACGCCCTTGGCATGCGCCTCAATGAAATCGACGTAGCACCCTATCTCAGCGGCCCTGCTAACGATGCAAATATCCACCGAAACCGCTTCAATTTTGTCTTCCGTCCTTTCCCATCACTGACAGATATAGGCGCTCTCGTGCCTATCGACCCTTTGGACGAACGAACTCGTCCCTCCATGCATCCCGATGACTACGCAGAGCACGTACCACGCCCGAAGAAAAATACGTCGTTCACTTTTCTCTTTGAGCCTGGGGACGTCGCCTATGGAGTCAACTCCCTTATGGTCAATCGTATGAGCATCGAAGCTAATGGATTTCGCGCTTGGACCGGATCGGTTTTGGTCGTCAAGACGCGGGGTCCATTGTCGGACGATCCTACCACCCCCTGGGGCGGCAAGGCGCTTGTAGAAAACGCTGTTGAAACCGACATCCCCTTGGTGGATAATTGTATCTTGAAGTGAGTACGCATATCGTTGAAAGTTGATTTCTAATTAATCACGCACCTAAAAGGCTTTTTGACTTCAGGCCCGAAGTTCAGAACGAAGATGAAGAGACAAACTTTGCCTTTTAGTCACCGTTTTGCTCCATTTTTTGTGCTCTAATTCTGGTTTCATTTGCTGTGGTGCTTTGATGCGCATACCGATTTGATATCGATATCTACTTTGTCATTTATCTATAAGCCGAATAAAATATTTACTTTCAAACTTGGAGCGCAATTAATATTGCAACTTGCGCCTAATAGCATCTATATTTGGCAAGCTAAATAGTCGGACTTTGAACTTTGGGCCGTCACAGACTACGATTGCAAGTCCAATATGCCATGCATCTCGACCTCATTCCCAATTGATTAGCCATTTCTTTCTACTATATATGTCTCCACGCAAAGCTATGAAGTTCTTCGATGATGAGCAAGAAGAATGGCTCAAAACCAAGGTCGACGGCTTCGAGCAATCAATGGGCAAAGAAATCGAGCGCAAACTCTGGTATGCGACGCTACGTAAGGAGTGGAGTGATAGGTGGGATCTCAAACCAGAACAGCTCCATGTACGTCACAAATGCTCTATAATTTGCCCCGCTCATGTGGCGCAGATGTTTCCCACCTACTTCAGAAATGCCCTCCTCAAACGCGGCACCTATAAAGTAACAAAGCCCAGGAACCAAACTCGAACTCGTCGCAAGGCGTTTCGCACTAGATCTTCAGCTTCAGCCCTGAAGCTGAAGGACGAGAAACGCGGCTCCTCTCGGGTCACAGAACCTGCCGCCCGCTCTCGTACGCGTCGCTCTGGTGCCCGCACCAGAGCTGAGGTCCGAGAGCTTCGTTCACTACTGGCACCCACTTCTCGCCATCAATACAAACGAACTTTATCTTCTCGGGGCGACGAGGGCTTAGCACCTCCTTCGGCTGCCTTGTCGTCCTCTGGTACTCCAAACATTGCCCTCGATGACGAAATGATAGACCAACTTGCCTCAGACGACGAAATGATAGACCAACTTGCCTCAGACGACGAAATGATAGACCAGCTTGCCTCAGACGACGAAATGATAGACCAGCTTGCCTCAGGCGACGAAATGATAGACCAGCTTGCCTCAGGCGACGAAATGATAGACCAGCTTGCCTCAGACGACGACGGGAACACTCTCTTGACGCAAACTCCATGGTAAGTTACACGCTTTATTCCAGATTTGGGTCTCACATACGCGCCAACAGCGTTCGGCAATACGACATCCAAGATACTTCAACTTCATTGCTAGAAATCGATATGCCTGGCGTCAGCGCTAATGATGTCTCCCTTCTTCTTGACGATGGGCGCCTTGTCGTGCATGGGCGCACCGAGTTCAGGGGTCGTGTTTGGAGCTACCAATGGGAGGGCCATGTCGACTCATCTATTCCTGTATGTTCATGATTCCGGCTTCATAATTAGCCAACCCTCATAGGATTCTTTTCTAGGCCGAACACTTTCAGTGTGGTATGCAGTACGGCAGGCTGGGCGTAGCATGGCTAGAATCTTCGCAGCCAGAGGACCAGTTGCCAAACACATCCCACCACTTACTCACTGTCGAAAGTAAGTTTCTCGCGTACTCGCCTCAGTCTCTTTCTCATGACTCCGAAGGAAACTGGCCTTGGCAATGAATCCAGCAAGGTTTCCCCCCCATTTTCTTGAATATCGTCACTCCCAGCACAACGCCAGCACACCCGTTGCAAAAGCACACATTACCAGCCTCATTCGTACACAATTACATCTCTGCGCCGGACTTTTGACTTACCACAGCTGCTTGTATCTCACGCCTACTCCCACTGTGTACGGTTCCACAACTTCCTGCTCCCAAGATTCCGATGTATCTGCCGAAATGTACCAATAAAACTCGATGTCACTCTGTGCTTATATAGTAGCGCGTCTCACAATATCGTTGAGATTCACTTATAGGCAAATCTCCGAAGTGCCCAACGCTTCGGAGACTTGCCCTTGGTTCCAAATCTCGATCATACGAAATGGACAGTCCAACGGTATGCATATGTCAGCGTTGGCTCATCATTGATTGAAATCGACGCGAAGGATAGTCTCGGCCTATGTTGCAGACGTGGAAGCGCGAGCAGTAGGATCGCCTCATCAGCTGTTACTAATTAGCACTTAAAATAGACTCACGCGCGACATATTACAGGCGCCCGCTTGGATAACACGTGACCGTATCCCGCCTACACACAAAGGTGATCAAAGAGCCTTTGGCACCACAAAACTCTTTATGATCAAGTATAAATAACCGCTACTACAGGTACTACTTGTATCCTCTCCCCCACACCAACATGGATACTCTGATATGTGCAGGACTTGCGGCAGCGTCCGCCACGTTGTTACCAGGTCGAGACGTAAGTTCACCCAATTGTGCGTCTCCTCAAGCCAATATTAACGGAGAGGTCAATTAGGCATTATTCCCCAGCTTTAAAGCAGCCGTGCACGCGAAACCGGGTGTCGAACCCAACGAACGGCAGTCCCCAAAGCTGGATCGCCAAGATAGCTCTAAATCTGAGGACCAGCTGCCTCCTCTGCCTGCCGATGGTCCTGAATCCAGTGAGCACTCGCCTCCCCCATTTGATAGCTTCAACGCCAATGAGAAGTCGCCTCCCCTAGTTAATTCTGAACTCACTCCTCCTGCCGAGCTACCGCCTCTTCCCGATGGCCTTGAGCTTGACCAGCCGTCGCCTCGCCCAGTTGATAGCTCTGGACCTGATGACAAGCCTCCTCCTGCCGAGCTACCACTTCTTCCCGATGGCTTTGAGCCTGATCAGCCGTCGCCTCCACCAGTCGATGGCTCTGGATCTGATGATAAGTCTCCTACTGCCGAGCTAGCGCCTCCTCCTGATGGCTTTAAGCCTGATCAGCCGTCGCATCGTCCAGCTGATAGTTCTGGATCTGATGATAAACCCCCTCCTCCTGGAAAGCTACCGCCTCTTCCCGACAGCTTCGAGTCCGATGAGGAGTCACCCTCCGTTGTTGACTCTGAATTCACTCCTGCTTCCGACGACTCTTCGACCTCGCAAGCGACGTTGATCCCCCGTGGCAAGTGCAACATCCCTTCTATCTCCGCTTCGCCCGAACGCACTCCCGATGATATGAAGGCACTGGAGTAGGTGAAGGTTTTGACAATCTGGGTCAATAACTAATGGATGCATAGTGTGCCACTTGACGCCGTCGAAGCGGACACATTCACCGAGGCAGGGCCTGTTTCCCCTAGCCCGAACCTGATCCAAATACCCCTAGATACATATACGCATTTACTAGACCAAATGACGCGCTTCTTCTCTCACCTGCACGTCTCACCGCCCCCCGCCCTACCAGCTGCAGTTGCTCCAGACATCCAACAGGGCTGTTGTCCTCAAGGACCAGACGTACTGCGAGTCGTAGAAAGCTTTGAAGCCTCAAGCAAGGTGTCCAGTCACCATTGATGGACTCCGCTCCGAAGCTTACCTCTTTGATTCTCAGGCCCTACGGGGAGATTTACGGGGGGCAAGGCGCACAATGGCAAATCTGGTAAAGACTTTCTTAGACTCGTCTGACGTTGTTCACATCTGCGAACCAGGCTGAAACTTTGGAACACTCTACACACTCGTTCCTCTTACAGGAGGAACTACACGGGGCAAAACACATAATAGCCAATCTGGTAAGCACTGTTTGAGATTTGTCTGGTGGTGGTGTTGCTGACATGGCTGAGATCAGGCTGAAACCTCGGAGCGCTGCGCAAACTCAAATGTACGTCCTCATGGCTGTGTCCTTCCATTTCTACCTGTTTGATGAATATATATGTAGGTGACCTCCATCATTACATGGCAGCAGGCCATGGAGATAGACATCGCAACTCTTAAACAAGAGGTAAATTCCACAGCATCCTCCGCGTCGCCCCTGCATATTCCACCCACTCACTACTGTTCATAGACTTCCAGTCTCCATGACCGAAGGACGGCCATCGTCCTCGAGGACAGATTGGATGAGGTGCGCAAACGGAGAGTTTATCATGCATTCTCAATTTGTCTAAATGCGCATCTTTCTCATTAGGTGTCTAATCTGAGGCAGCGTTTAGAAACCCAGGTCAATACACCCCTCGCATCGATAAACAAGGTCGATCCCAAGTCACTCACATCCGTCTGACAGTTTCAAGTAAAAGAGAGGAGTTTTGCTCTCGAAAAGCAGGAGCTTGAAGGACAGGTAGGCTGTTGTTCGCCTTGGAGTTGAATAGCCATCACAAAGGTACTGCGTAGATTGCGCAACTCAACCAGGCCCAGAAGCAGGCCGCCCAGCAGAACGAACAAATGACCCGCGAAGTAGGTGTCCCCCTGTCGGTAACCTACATATGACATAAATCTTGTCAGCTCGAGTATCTTCGACGCGATTATGAAACAGAAGTTCAGAAGGTCGGTTCTCGAGATACTAGACTACAGACGCGCGACTAAGAGATGGATTCAAGCTTGGAATTCGGAACACAGACATCCATGCCGAAGTGAGTTTCTCATTCTGATAGTGATATATATATTCTCATCCTTGCCAGGCCATGCATCGTGTGGAGCTACTCGCCACCGAAAACAAGGCTATTCGGGCTCAGGTTTGTATTTCTTTCAGCCAACGGAATTCGCTAGATTTGACGCATTAATTACGTGTTAGAACTCCGAGATTGCGAGTATTGCAGTTAATCAGGCAAGCAAATCCAATGTATGTTTCCCCCCATATTGATGATAGTGTAGATCGGCGCCCTGCAATGCGAGGGAGCGCGCCTCCAGGAGGAACGATCTTGGGTTGGGGACAAGGTCAGTCGCCACGCGATCGCTCACCGATTCTGTATATCACATATATAATCTAGGTGAGTGAGTTGATCAGTAAATGCGCAGCCTACGAGGTTGAGAACGCGCATCTACATACACAAGTTAGTAACCAAATAATGCATAATGCTGATCATCGTTCACTGACAATTGCAATTAATTGTGCGCGGTTATATATGCAATCTAGGTGAGCGAGTCAATCAGTAAATACGCAGCCTACGAGATGGAGATCGGACGCATACGTACAGAAGTAAGTCAAATAATAATCATGCATGCATATTATCTTTCACTGACAATTGTACCCGTTTACTATAATTTAGGTGAGTGACTCGAGTAGTAAATGCGCAGCCTACGAGGTCCAGAACGCGCGCCTACATACACAAGTAAGTAATCGTATCATAACCATGCATGTACGTGTACGATGCTGATCACGACGTCGTTCTCGTCCATCATCAAGTTCGCTTCCAAAAATCAACGTTTACGAGACGAGGTCAGTCCCAGCGTATCCCATCGCTAGAATAGGGTATTGACCCTTAGTAGCTTTCTCAGCGCATTGGTACAATCAACACAATCCACGGTTGCCTTGCCATTCTGGCATCCTCTGGCCCTGCTGAACGTGACACTACGTTGGTGCCCTCCGCCGTCGTAATCGGCGCGGATCCGATGGCCGAGTCGGAGCGGTGTTTCCAATACCTCAAGAAAATACGTCACCAAATAGGAGACTTGGAAAAGGTACATGTCAGTCCATGCGAAGGGCGTAGATGACTGCTCACCTCATACATTGTGATGCAGGCTTGTGCGCAAGATCATCGCGGCCATTTACCATCTAAAGTGTCCCACGCACCAGTAGCGGCTCAGACCGAAGGAATCTTTATAGTTACAAGGGAAGCTGGGACTCAAGCAGGTGGATCCAGCGACGCACCGCCGCGCGTAACCCCTACCACTTTGGATCAAGTGGTTCAAACCGATGAGATCCTCGTAATCTCAAGCGAAGCTGAGGTACAAGCAGGTGGATCTAGCGATGCGCCCCACCGTGTACCCTCGACCGATCACGGGGTTCAAACCGATGAAATAGTCTCAAGTGAAGCTAAGGCACGAGCTGGCGGGTCCAACAATACACACCAGGTCCAGTCGCCTGAGGGAGTTCAGGCTGAAGTAACCCAAAGTGAAACTGAGACGTACGGGGACCAATCCAGCGACTCGTCAATCCAGTCACCACCGAGCGTCGACGCCTCTCACGACGAGGAGGCTCCTTCCCAAGAAATTCATGTTGTCTCTGGCGAACAAGAATATGGATCCGATGATGCAGCACCCCAGTTACTATCAACATCGTCGGAGGTGAGGGTGCAGGTACTCCAAAGAATGCTTTTACTTCTTCATCATTTAGCTACCCATTTTTGAGGCTCATGGGCCTCCTCATGACTCCGATGGAGCTCAGAATGGGGATCATACCCCCTCGTCGTCGCCACCGCAAACACCGGCTTTCAAGGCATTTAATTTCACGCCGTTGACCCCGTCGCCGCACGATAGATCCCTCATAGGACCTTTGTCGCCTATGTCCCCCCTAACAAGCAGTCCTGACGGTTCTCCGGTTAGACGGAACGTACGCGTTAAGCAATTAGCGAGCACTTCAACAAGTTCGCGAAGAACTCAGTCCGGCACACGATCAATTTCTAACGACCAGAACTCTGGACAACTCCCCAAAGCTTCGACGATAATGAGTCCGCGACGGACTCGGTCTAGCATGCGATTGACTTCCAACAACCGGATATGCAACCAGCTTGCCCCCGGTATGTTGTTGTTTCCAACTTGCAAACATCTAATGACTTGACATTGATTTATAGGCGGAAGCCTGACGTCAAAGCGTAAAGCCACTTCAAACTCCTCAGCTGCCCCCAAAAAGCGACGGAGAACTGGCTTCGCAGCTAGCGGGCTTCAAAGGAGGCTGGCCACACCCGAAGAAGTAGATCCAGACGTTTCTGATCATGATGCGACCTCTTGACACTGACAGTAGTAATATACATATACATGACCCTGTACTTTTATCGATGAACTCAAGCGCCCATATTTATCTATCTTTCGGGAACACCACCATGGTCCATCGGGGGGCAATTGCAAGCAGCACACATCCGCTAGATGACCGCATGCCATACGAAATCAAATATGACGTACGGACCTGATTTCAATGGAAATTTCTATCTTAACATAATTGCATTCCAGCTCCTCTGTGACGATTTCAAAAATACCTTCATTAGTGACTTGATGGAAGAGGGGGATACTGAAATGCCCGGTAGTTACCCCGCAACACCCTTGTGCGTTCCATATTGTCCCTCCTGGGCCAAACCTTTCGTCTTATAATTACCAGGAAGCCTCCCGTTCGAACAGTGCCTCTTCCCACAATCAAAAGGCCGTCAACAACCCCGACCCCACTATCGATCGATTTGCAGAAGCCACCACCACCACCCAGCAGCAGGAAGCAGGACATTTACACCTTCCTCCGGCGACTATGTTCACCAAAGATTACCGATTTCACCATTGAGCTTTGCGCAGCCTCACTATCGGAAATCAAGGATAAACACGCATTATTGCTCCAGGCGTCTCTTCTGGCTACAAACCACCTTGCTTTGCCAGAAAATGGAGCTGTTCAGGATCAAGTGGAATCTCTTGTCCGCGCGCTAGAGGCCAATCTATCTACTATTGATATAATAAGGCGAGTGGCCGGATTATTTCTTGGTTGATATCATTCATGAACGGCGTTCGTTTTAGGTCACCCACTGTTGTAAAACCCGAAGTCGCCAACGGATCTGCTTCGGGTCATCATACACTGTCAAACATACGCGACTCTCAGTCACAAACCGCACCCCGCGTATCCTTCGCACGTACGCAACCACGTGCACCTTATGATCAGGCTGCCCAATCCACCACCTATCATGTCCCTCCCGGCCAATGGATGCCCCCGAATGCAACTCATGATCAGCCTGAAATGGTCGACACTCCTGGGTCTCCTCCAGATCTTCACCAGTACAGGACACCTATAAAGTTTCACGCCCATTCTCCTCCTCCTCCTGAACGTGAGTACATCACCATTCTACCCCAGAATGACTCGATCAGTGGCCACGGTCTCTCGGAACAACGAATATATCACTCTCAAACGCCGCGCAGAAGCACACCGCAAGCAGAATCACTCATTGAATCAGACCTTCACCAGCGCTCGACATCTACAAAATCTTACGCCCATTCTTCTCGTCCTGAACGTGAATACATCACTATTCCACCCCCGATTGACTCAATTAGCGGCCACGGTCTCCTGGGACAACGAATCTATCTCCCTCAGGTAGCGTCTGGTATTTCTCCACAAACGCCGCGCGGAAGCATACCTCAAGCAGGCTCACTTGTTGAAACAGATCATCGCCGGTAAGTTGTATCCAGCTTGATTAGTATTTATCTACCTAATCTTCGTTTTCGTGAGTAGGATTCCCCAGATAGAGGCTGTCATCAACCCTTCAGCCCCTCTCAATGCCACGTCACACCCAGCTAGGGCACCTCCCCCTTCTAGCTACTTCATCGACAAGGACATGAAAGTGTTCTATACCGAACAAGGGACCGATAAACTACTGGGCCGGCTCAAGCTATACAACGCCGACTCCAAGAGCACAAGTGACAGAAAACCCCGATACATTGATTGTGTGCGTTTAGGTGAAGGCCTACTTGACTTTCCCTTGGTCCCAGAATCTTGGCTTTTGTTACCAGGCGACATGTTCTTGCTTCATAGCGACGATAAAAACATGATGGCTGAGCGGATGTGGCTCCAGGACAAACACGAGACCTGGCAGGATATCACCCATCAATGGAATTTGCGCAACGGCATCAACAACATGCTTGTGCCCCACCCAAACGAAAAGGACGCATATCTAACATGGGGCAGGGGTGATCGGCCAAACTGGGTGAAAGGCGAGACTATGAAGAATAAAGCGAAAACATGAGCAGTTATTATACCATCGAGGTACCATGGCTATACTTTTATAACAATCGCAACCTCTTATATACATAGGGTAGTACTACCTATTATTGCCGGGATTATTGCAAGTGCAAGATTATTGTGATATGCGTGCTAAACGACAAATCTCTATTATATATAATTAGCTACTATGTATAGAAATGCCAATTTCAAATTCCGCTCGAAGGTAAACGCACGTGCTGGTGACGCGTGGAGATATTATTATGCAAGGTGAAGAAGTTTGAAGCCGAATGCGCTACAGCTAAATAGCCAATCGACGCAGTTGAGCTTTCACGACGTTCAACGTCGGAAAGTTTTGATTCGTACATAACATTCACGCTATGCCTGTGGATACTCACGTACGTAGGAATCCACCGTCAACCTTTTGCCTCAGAAGTGACACATAACTCACAGATTCAACCTGAATCCTTTTCATTTGCACGCATACACGGCGGTCACTATACCGTCGTTAACAGTCGCACGGAAGTCGTACCAACCCCTCCCGCAACTATGATTCACTATATGGAAGACGACCTTTCCATCTTCAAGCAACCCAACTGGTTGACTAACATGTTCCCCTACCTTGCGTTGATCCCTAAACATCATTCTTGGTCTGGCCCGCTTTTCCAACCACTTCATGTGTCATTATCGTCCCTCAAATTTTGGAAGACTCGTGATGGCTGCTATGTTCTCGTTAAGACAACTAGGGACACTTGGCGGGCCTTGGAATACGCTCTTCAACGGTTCATCAAGTACCTTTTGAACGAAGTCCGTGGAGTCAGTAGCTCCTTCGCATTCTACTCCTTCCCAAGTCAATACGGTTACTCTTTTAAGCACCCCACGCCAGAGGAGGCTAGGGATTGCTGCATGCAGTCTCGAGACGCGTTTCTCCCACTCATCGCGCTGGCCACATTCTGCGTAATACTGGCCGAACGTCACGAAAGGGCGCTCCCTACTTTTCGTTGGAGGGACTTCGTGTCATCCGCTGCAAGACTTCATCCTCAATTCATTGCCGATCTAGAGGCTTCGGTTATCGGTTCAACCCATGCATTACGACAAGGTGGTTTCATCGACATCAACACATGTGATTTCCTGGATGACATTCCATCCCTTTTCCCGTACAATATGCCACTGTACTTTTATTGGGGACCTGAGAACAAAACTCCGTATCCCCCCCCTGCCATACGCGGTTGGGGCGCCTACCTCATCCCGAAAGAAGTTTATAACCCAATACGCAAGGATTTCCCGTGGGCTACCGGTGTAGCGCAGCGCATGCCGCTTATAGCTTCTACTGCCATTTTCAAGGGTCGGCCGGTCTCTCCCTCCGCACCTTCCGACCCATCAAGTGGCGCCAAATGGGGACCGCCACCCTCTCCAATTGCAAGCTCTAGTGCTGTTCCTTCTTTTGTTGTCGACCAAGGTACCTCTCAAAGGCCTGGCGAATTGATGTCCGAGTTCTTCGCTCGCAGGGAGAAGCATTTCGAGCGATATGTCCTGAAAGAGACACAGACTCAAAGGCAAGCTCGACTCGCTCGTGAGGAGGCTGCATCGCACCAACAAATCCCTGGAAGGAGGGGAGCTCTCGTTTTCTACTGGGAAGATGTCGACGGTATTCGCATTCGTCGTTTCGGCACTCGTGATCCGTCTCTTTGGCTACGTTACTCACATAACCAGAGGCGGTACAATTCAGCCTTCGATGAATGGGATCTATGTTCCGAATTTGCCCCTGAGGAAGGCGCATCTGAGCTTGGCGATTACGACGATAGCGATGACGACGATATTCCACATGCCGACCCCGCGGCTGACAATACCGATGTACGTCGTAGCGACGATATCGATGCTTCTGCGATTCCGAGCGCATTCACAATCCATCTCGACGATGATCCATTGTTGTCGTTGATGACGCAACGGGGGCCCAATCCCGAAATGCGGCATCTCTATTCTCTTGACCAAGAATCAGCTCCTCTCGACTCTGATTTGGCTTCAGAAATGCCTGAGTTCTCAGCCTTGCAAGTCGCATATGAAATCTTTGGTTTCACTGACTCCGAAGAGGACCAAGGCCAATCATCAGGGTCACAGGTAGATTGGGCTCTCGTCAAGAAGTGCATGGGGGTGTCATGGAAGGATGTTGGAGGCTATGTCGACGCAAAAACTGTATCTCATCTTTGCAAATTCTTCCTTTGTCTAACAACGGCGTCGTCTTGGTTGGACATGCCGCAGGGCCTTTTGGACATCCGCCAAGCTGACAGCATTGTCTCATCATATTGGATGGGTGATATTCCCTTCCACCTCGAACCGAATGGCGACGCCGTCAGTTACGTTTTTGGAAGTTCGGCTAGGCTACAAGTCGTCGTCACAAACCCTCTCGCAGTATTATACGTCGCGCGGTGCCATCGCGATTGGGATTCGCATTCTGTATCTACCGTTGCAACGAATCTCGCTGGGATAGGATTTCCATTCTCCCTTCGTTTGTCCACTGGCGCAGGCTCAGTCCCGATGTCTACATCGGAGGGTAACAACGCCCTAGGATATCGTCCTGCTAATTACATTCCTAATAAATGGGACTATTGTGCATACGTTACTCGACGCGATGCTCTCCTCAAGTCTCCTCGGGGATGCTCTGCACTCATGACTGGAGGACTAGTTGGCCGCATGGCTCGTGCCCTCATTCCCCCCGATTTCTTCTCAGCATTACTATCTAGCGAGGATATCGACCCCGCCTTATTTAGCCCTCTGACTTCGGCAGAGTTAGACTTGATATGCGGTGTATACTGCCAGGAAACTGGTACGCATCCGTATGAGGTGAAGAGATAATCCATACTAACGGACCACCACAGGCCAAGTTTCATCAAAAGGGGAGAAACAGGTGACGCGAAAATCCTGGTGGCCTCCCCATCACCTATGGGTTAAGCAACAGTTTGGCCTTGCTCAGTGGACGAACGATGCCGAAGCTTGGTACCAACGCCGTCATGAAAAACTCAGTTCGGGCAACTTCGAAGCTGCAGACCTTATGAACGGTCCCTCTTGGAGGAGTGCCTTACGTCACACTCCGGCGGCAAAGAAGCTTATATCTCAAATGGAAGGGCTGGCGGCAGCGTACATACGAAGTAGGATGGTTTTGTAGTTAGAATAGTGAACTCTAACTATCTGGGCTTTAAATCTCTACAATCTGGGTTCAAACTCTCAAATCTGTACTTGCTGAGTTTCAAGGCTTCGCCGGACAATCAACTTTAAACCTGCAACGCGACCGTCGCGTTGCCAAATTAATGCTAATATCTAAAGCCGCCCGCCTGTCGAGACCATCCTCCGAAAGTGTGTCAACGCTTCGGAGTACTTCTATATAGGCGTTGTCGTGACTCTCCTATGGAGTTAGAGAGACGTGAAAGGTCTGCCCGGATTTTTACGTTTGGATTTCGACGATAATAAGAAGATTGCCTGTCCTTTAGGAAAACATACGTTCTTTGTCGATGTCATAGCCATTGCCTGCAATGGGATTCCGTATCTCAGTCTTTCGTTGGTGACGGAAAACTTGTAACGCGCTGGACAATGGACAATCACCGGAAAGATGACAGACTTTCCCGGATATCGATTGGCCATGGCACGAGAACCTCGCAGCTGCTGCCTGGTGCCGCGACGACTGCGCCCACCAGTGACCAATTGCAAGGACCTGACGTTGGATGGCAACAATTGGTTGAGCAAGAACTGGCCCTCTTCGATCTCCTCCCCTCGTCTTCTCCACTCCATCCATTGAAATTCATCAATAATCCTTCGACTTCCGGTGAATACAGGGAGCCGATGGACCCCCGCAACGTCAATGCTGGAGTTCATTCACTTGACACAAAAAGTCGCGCCAATGCAGCATTTCTCACCACTGAGCTACGCCTTGCGTATTTGCTTACAAAGGCGGCCCAACTCACATACCCTCACGACGCGCAGCTACTACCCCAGCTGCGTTCTCAATGGGACCGCTTGAACCGTGATAAAGAACTCCACTGGTTAAATCAACGAAAGATAGAGGACAAATCTTATGTCAACACAGGTACCTGTACTCGAACTCGTCTAAGTCTTTTCGTGACTGATGTCATCCGTAGATATATACTTCCACTCTCTCGTCAAACGCGAGCCCATAGCTACCCAAGTTGCCTATGTCACAACGGCGATAATGCAGCACTTCTATTTTGTATCGAGGCGGGCGCTGCGACTGCAGCTATCTGGGCTTCGTGACCTGATGGGCGGCAATACAGCCATCCCAACCGAGATCGCAGAACTTATTTCGGGGGACCCGCGGACGGCAACCTCACATTTGCACATTGACCCCGTACTGCGGACATTCATATGCTGCACTTCTTGCCATTCGATCTATCCGTACAATCCCAACGAACCTTCAAACCCTCCTCGATGCCTAGGGAAGCGTGCGCCCGAGTCCTCCCCATGTGCCGCGGAATTATGGAAGGAGACAATCGTGGGGGGTCGACAGCGCATTGTACCGCGTGTACTATACCAGCACCAAGACTTTAAACATTGGTTAGCAAGGATTTTGGCTCGCAAAGGTATCGACGACCTGTTGGATACCTACCCATCCGAGCTTCGCTCTGGACATCAACCGATATCGGATATATGGTTAGCAAATATTTTCTCCCAACTGAAAGGTCACGACGGAAATCCGTTCAGTGGCCCCGGCCGCCTCGTTTTCGGCTTGTCTGCAGATAGCTTCGAACCAAACGCCTCGCGACCTGGCCACACACCCCAGTCCTCAACTGGGATTTGGCTCGTCTGTTACAATCTCCCCCCACACCTGAGATACCTCCCTGAAAATGTTTACCTCGCAGGTGTCATCCCTGGCCCTAAGAAGCCCTCGCTCGACGAGATAAACCCATATATCCAGTTGATTGTTGATGACTTCCTGCAATTTTGGGAGTCTGGAGTGTTCTTCTCGCGCACTCATGGTTCCGCGAGTGGGCGAACCTACTTCGCAGCACTTATTCC